GCTCTTCAGCTCAAGGCTAGCGCTCTACCACTTGAGCCACAGCGCCACTTCCAGTTTTCTGAGTGGTTTATTGGGAGATAAGAGTCTCAGGGTCTTTCCTGCCCGGGCTGGCTTTGAACCATGATCCTTAGATCTCAGCCTCCTGAGTAGGTAGGATTATAGGCATGAGCCAACGGTACCTGGCCCTGGAGGCAGTCTTATCATTCTGAAAATAGGCTTCTTTCTTTCTTTCCCCCAGGCTGCGCCCTGTCTAGGATGTGCAGTGCAATGTCAGTAGGAGTAGGCAAGCCGCCTCCCTGCAGGTTCCTGGTCTTTGAGGGAGAGCAGTCAGTCTTGGACCATCAGGTTCCATGTGTATTTCTCATGGATGTTTCTCATTAGGCTAAGGATGCTGATGTCTCTTCCTTTTTCGTGAAGAGATTTTATCAGACTATACTTGGAGACAATCATCTCTGCCCGACTGGATGTTAACAGAAATAAGCTGTCCCATTTCTTTCTTCTTTTATTTTTTCTTTTGTTAGTCCTGGGGCTTGAACTCTGGGTCTGGGCGCTGTCCCTCAGCTCTTCAGCTCAAGGCAAGTGCTCTACCACTTGAGCCACAGCACCACTTCTGGTTTTCTGGTGGTTCATTGGAGATAAGAGTCTCACAGACTTTCCTCCCCAGGCTGGCTTTGAACCATAATTTCAGATCTCAGCCTCCTGAGTAACTGGGATGATAGGTGTGAGCCACCAGCGCCCCACTGAAGCCATTACATTTCTTGACATTCACCGATGTTAAAATTCAGAGTCAATAAATGATGAACTAAGTATTTTCCTTTTGTAGTTATGAAATTGCCTTGCCACCTCTTGGTTTTATCTCATGTCATCAGGTTTGTGTTCATGTTTTAAAACACTTTGCAGCTTTCTACAGTGCCTGTGAGCCCCATCCAGGCGTCCGCTCGCACCCCTCACAAGCGCCTCACCCCTTCTTGAAGGCCTCCCTGGAGTTGCCCTTCTCCTCAGTCATTCATTGCTTGTCATGGTTCAGAATCTTCTCCCTTCTTCCCCTGCTTCTCCCCTGGCTCTTGCTGTGAAGTACAAAGCCCTATTTGAGACAGGCTAGATCTGCACGTGCCATTTGCTGTGCTGAGATCTGGCTGTAGGCTTTGTTCCTGTGCACTTGCTGCTATCCTAGGGCTATGTTGGAAGCTGTGCTGAGATGTAGCAAGCTCTGTGCTGATGCTGAGGGGTGAGCGAGATTCTGACTCTCAGGAGCTGCTCATGCGCACAGGCGAGGGCTTGTTAAACGTGGCGCAGACATTTTCATTAACGTTGGCTTGTTGTCATCTAGCATTTACTCTTTTAAATGCACAACTGAAAATTACTTCTCTCCTGGGGAATGTTTTCCTGCCTTTAGAAATGGTTTATTGATTGCGGTGCCCACACAATGGGCTACTGATTTTAAGAAATGGAAAATTAATTTGATCTGGCTGGGGGTGGCGTGGAGGAAGAGAGAAGAAAGTCAGTGTTTTTTCAGACATTGTATCAAATTCTACATCATCTTGGTTTGAATCCTATGGCTACCCCCAGAGGAACCGAGGTGCAAACCCCTGGCACACAGCTCATGAGAGACAGAGCCCAGGGACCAAGCCCCGATCTCACTGGACACCACTGAGACATGGAGAAAGTGCCAGGAGCACCGTGTGAGGGAACCTCGTCTAACATTGAGGAGGCTCACGGCAAATGGGCTCCATGTTCCTAACCCAGTTTGGGGGAGACCTGTGATTCCCCTAGAGGCAGCATCCTTACAAAGTTAGGAAACAGATGCTGATGACTGTGTAGATGTCTCCTTCCCAGTCTCCAGCCAGCCTTCAGTGCCTCAGTTAATGCACGGAGCTGTGGCAAGAATGGTAGATCCTCTGCACCCCATCCTGCAGATCAGAGCAGTCAAGAGACATCTCCATGGAGCTAGAACCTTCCTTTGAAGCAGGACTTGTAAGGAGAGGCTGTGCTGTAGACTAGACCATGGGTTGAATCCCTGCCCCTCACACCGGGGCCCGGTGGGCGTGAGCAGTGGTGTTTATAGTGAGTGTGGGCCTTGGAGCCATGCACGCGGGAGGGCTGACCTCCCCAGGCAGTGGGAACAGGAAGGAGGGCGACTGAGGAACCTAGGGCCATGCCTAGGAGGTGGTTCCTCAGGTCAAGGCCTCAACCACCAGGCTGTTCACACCCCCAGGAACCGGAGGAGCCTCCGAGAGGATCAGGTAACTCAGCCCACAGGTCAGCCACTCAGGTCAGCTCGGATCGGGGGCAGCACATTCCAGCTATGAGGCAGAGGCTACCTGTAGGCACAGTGCCAGCACTACTACCAGGAACGCTTCCTGGTCCCCTGTGCCAGGCAGGCCTGCTTCTCCCCAGGCGGAGAGAGCAGGCCTCAGCTCCCCTAGGCGCCTCTGCCGGCCCTCTGCCCCACGCAAGGCCCCTGCTCCCCGAGACCCAGGGGTGGAATGCAGCCCCAGAGTGGCCTCCTGGATTTTCTTAGAGCCCTAGGATCCTCAGGCAAAATGCACCCCTTTAAAAAAAAAAAGACTTTTTTCCTTTTCTCTTCAGTGATTCTGGGGTTTGAATTTAGGGTCCTGCACTTACTAAGCAAGAGCTCTACTCCTTGATCCATACCTCCAGACTTCCTTTTGCTCTTCAGTGAAAAATAGTACCTACACTTGGGGAAAGAAAGAAGGGAAGGGGAGGGAGGTAGGAAAGAGATTAAAGGTCTCCCCCATACTTACGCAGAGTTAGATGTTCTGAATGTTGGAATGCTCAAAACTGTGCCGCAGTCTCAAGAGTAGCAAGAATGGCAGATCCTCTGCACCGTAATACATGGACATCTGTAAGCCTTTTAAAGTTCATGTGGGAGCTTCCTGCAGCAGCTACAGAGCTCTACCTCTCTTTTATTTTTTCATTGAAATTATAGATGAGAACATTTGAATGGAATGTTGGATTCCTGAGTTTTTAGGCATCTAATAATGTACTAAAAGAAAATCATTTGGCCTGGTGCCTCTCAAGAGTGGATCTACATCCAAGGCCCAGAGGCAAGAATAGAGGTTGGGGCTGTGAAGGCAGCCTCAGGGGGTGCCGCTGGGGCGGGCGGGGACAGGAGCTAGGGAATGCTGCTCTCCCCAGCTCGGCCTGGTGTGGGGGCTGTGAAGAGCAGCTCCCCAACAGCAGGGTCCTCAAAGGTGTCATTTCTGAAGGTCTGGTGTGTGTTCTTTTTCTTTCCTGGGTTCTACTGGTTACAATTGCACACCTACTGTTTTATGTATGAATTGTGGGCTTTCCTAGATACAATTCCTTCAAAAGGTCTTCTTTTTTTTTTTTTTTTGCTTTATTTAATTTTTGTTTTCAATCAACATAAAATGATTGCACACAGTTATGGGGTGCAAGGTGATATGTTGGCTTGTGTATGATGCGTAATACCCAAACCAGAGCAACGTGCTTATCTCGAACATGTTTCAGCTCTGTGCCGGGATTCATTTAGCTCCCTCCTTTCTGGTTATGGTGAATGGAAAATAAGTTATTTTCAACCCTAGTCACCCAGCCTTTCCTCGGATCTGTGATAGTTCTGGTGGTTTAGTGGGCCCGTTCCTTTTCACCCATGTGATTCCACCCACGTTCCTTGGGGCTTAGATGGTGTGGACACACGGCCCTGCCCTGCCTCGGTTTCCTCAGCAGTGTGTAATGACACCAGGGACACGTGTGCACATCTGTAGCTTGCTTGACCCACGGTGGACACACGGTTGGTTTAGAGGCGAGTGGACCTCACTCCCAGCCACCAGCTCAGTGCCCTGCACATCGCCGTCATTCAGTGTGTGCTTGTTGACTAGCTTCACAGAAGGCTGCCAGAAACAGATGTGGAATTGAATTGGTCATTTTGAGATCCAGTTATTAAAGCTTTAGTGCGTCCTTACAGGAAGTGTGAAAGCCCACAGTCTAAAGGAGGAGGGATCTGGTCACCCACACATTTTCTAGCTCTCTGGCTAGGTAATCATTTCCATTCTGAATCTTATGGGGTGGGGGTTGGGAGTGGGGGGGCGGAGCGGGAGAGAGAGGTGTGTGGAGCGCTGACTGCTGAGACCCCTGCTCCCTAGTAAGCTGTCAACGGGATGTAAACGCCTCTTCCGGTGCCAGGGGCACCGGTAAGATGCATATGCCTTGTTGGTCCAACTGGTTGGCGTCTAAGGATTTCTCCCCTAAGGGACTGGTGTAGTTTGTGAGACCCCCATGGATGGTAAGACTGCATATAGCATCATGGGACTCATTTCCAACATTGGGAGCATACGCCACAAGAGTGTCTGTACCACAGCGAGCTGGGGAAAGTTGCAGCCATCTGTACTTACTGTTCTTTGAAATGAAACTAGAAGTTAAGCTTCACTGGTGTTTATATCAGCAAGAATGCCACACCAGCACTCAGCAGCAACCTTGTGGACACTCAGCTTCCAGGGTCCTGGGGAGGAATGGGGGGAGGGGGAGTTTAGAGGGTAGACAGGCACATGGGTATGGTGGTACATGCCTATAATCTCAGCCATTGGGAGACAGGGGCCAACAAAATACAAAAAGGCTTGGGGAACAGGCATGGATGGCTCACACATACAATGCTAGCTGCTCTGAAGGTTGAGCTCTGAGATTCAGAGTTCAAAGACAACCTGGGCAGGAAAATCCATGACACTCTTATCTCCAGTTGACCACCAAAAAGCCTGAATTGGTGCTGTGGCTCAAATGGTAGAGCACCAACCTTGAATTAAAAAAACTTAGACAGTAGCCAGACCCTGAGTTCAAGCCCTAGTACTAGCACACACACAAAAAGAAGGCTAGGGGCATGGATCAAGTGGTAAGGGGTTGTTGGCCACCCTGAGAGCTCTGGATTTAGTCTTCAGTATGCTGTCGGCCGTCTCTGTGTGCCCTCGCTTGCCCTTCCTCGTGGTCTCCCCGTTTACCCTCGTCCGGGCGTCCTCTCACCCTTCCAGGGACGCCTTGGCGGAAGCAGCAGACGGAGGACCTGCAGCGCGTGCTGGGGGCGGTGGACCGGGAGATCCCGCTGGTCCTGGTCAGCGGCAACCACGATGTGGGCAACGTGCCCACGGCGGAGACGGTGGCGGAGTTCCGCCAGACCTGGGGCGATGACTACTTCAGCTTCTGGGTCGGGGGCGTGCTCTTCCTGGTGCTCAACTCGCAGTTTCTGCACGACGCGTCCCGGTGCCCCGCGCTGAAGCTGGCCCAGGACCGCTGGCTGGAGCAGCAGCTGGGCATCGCCCGAGAGCGCCAGTGCCAGCATGCCATCGTCTTCCAGCACATCCCGCTCTTCCTGCGGAGCATCGACGAGGATGATGACTACTTCAACCTCACCAAGGCCGTGCGCAAGGAGCTGGCCGACAAGCTCACCGGAGCAGGTAGCGTGGGCCCTGGGAGGGTGGGGGGGTGTTCAGGCCATGGCAGGTAGCTTTAGTGGCACAGGCCCTTTCCTTAATGACCTTCAGACACAGAACAGGGCTGGGGCAGTGTTGGCAACACCAGATTCGGGGGGGACGAGGGCAGATCTGCAGGCAGTGTGCCCTGTTGGGTTGGGGGGTAGGGGCAGGCAGGCTGCCAGGGGCCTGGGAGCTGTGCGCACCCCCTGCTCACGACGCTCGTGGGGGTGGCGAGGGTCACAGCAGTAGAGCTCAGACTCATTTTGGAAAGCCAGAAGTTCAAGCAATATTTTGTAAAATTCATTAATTTGAAGACCGTGATAAAACTGGGGGTGACGATGGCAGATGGTATTTAATGTTGCCACGAACCCTCTCCCCCCACAGCACCATTATTTATTATCCCTTAATACTATTTCCGTCTCATTTATCTCCTTGTGCTAAAATGCCAGTTCTCAGAAATATGTCAGAAGCTCGTCCGAGATCGGGGTAGCTTTTAATTACGATAATTGTGTTGTTACAAAATATCCTTTTAAAGACCACATCCCTCCCCAAACCACCATGGAGGTGAAACCCCGCTTCCTCCCAGGGAGTTTATGAATAATTCTGAATCATTGTGTGGGATGAATAAATGATTTAATAATGAGCGCCAGCAGCCACCTCCCTGCTCCGCGTGACTTTACCCCGAGGACGAGTCGGCGGGGAGGAAGGACAGTCACTGAGCCACGGCCACCCCGCCTCTGGGGCTGTGCACTGTGACCCGAAAAACAAAACCTCCAAGCTCAGGTTTCCCTAGAAACGGAGGCTTCCTGCTTCTGCTTCTGAAGCTCAATAAGAAAACAATAAAAAATAATTTTTAAAAAACCTTCTTTTTATGTTACAAGAATGTTGTCAGTAACTGGTACAAATAAACAGACATCAGGCCTGGACAGATACACAGACACGAAGTGGCACCTGTCACTTTCCGTCGCCTTTTGTTCTGCCTGAGGATAATCAATATCACATCCAAAGGATGTCAAAATTGGTTTTCCCCTTAATTCACCTGATTCCTAGTTGGAGGCAAAAGGCAAGAAAGGTAATGAAGTCTTGGTGGAAGGAAGCGGGGCATTGCCTCCATCCCTCAGGACGCGTTTTAGTGGAAGGTACTTGTGTGACCCAGTTAATACATGTAATTTCAAAACTCAATCTTAAAAAATAAAAGGCTAACTCTTTAACTGACCGCGTTTCCCTTGAGATCCTGATACCTTTTCTTTTTTTCCATTTTTAACGTAGAGGTTAGAACTGTGTATTAAAGAGCCCGGAGCAAATTTAGCAATTATGAAAAATTCCAACAAGTTGATCTTTGCTGCAAAAGTTAATGGGTAATTTCACAGCATTAGGGTTTCATCTCTAGTATTTATGTTTAAAAAAATGAGAGAGGGAGGGGATCCTGGCCCATGATTATGGGCTAAGAATTCCAGTTTTAAAGAGCACAAAGGTTAGATGTGTGTATCTTACACTCTAGTGTCGGACTGAGTTGTACCGTGTCTCCTCCAGTTTTCTTGGTGGTCATAAGCTCAGCCCTGAACCAAGACTGTCATTAATATAATCCCCTACTGAGTCAGTATCAGTTCAGCATCAGCTCACCAGTTAGCATCCCCACCTATGGACTGGTGTTGACCAGCTGCGTCTCAGACAGGAAAGGCATTGCCTAGTGCAGGGGAACAGACTTTTCCTGCAAAGGAAATATCTGGGGCTTTTCCATCCTGACTGTAGCAGCTGTTTAGATCTGCCCTTGCAGAACCAGAGCCAATATACAAACAACTGGGCATGACTATATGCCAATAAAACTATTCACAGCACCAGATAGTGGGCCTGCAGCCTGTAACGTTCCAAGCATAGGCTTCAAGAAGGCATGACACTCTTGCCTTCCATGGACCCTGTTGTGTCTAATTCCTGAGTGCTTCCGGTGGCCCCACTGTGGAAGGGGCCTGGCTTACCGAGGCATCTGCCCACAGCATGCTTCCTGGCCCAAAATGGAGGCCTTGTCTCGGGGAGCCACACACCACACCAGAAGCCCACAGTGCAACTGGGGGGACTGGGGTCAAAATGGAACGAGAAAGACCGTGGGGACACTTTAAAAGGTGTCTCATGTTTCTTTCAGCATGGGTTGGCAAAAGCACAAGTAGCTCACCAGTTTACAGACAGTCTTAATTAAGTATGTCGTGGTACAGGCAGGAGACAGATGAAGGGAGTTAGGAGGGTGACACCGGGCAGCTGGTGTTCAGCCCTGGAACACTCGTCTTTCTCTGTACATCCCTACCCACTCCCCTTCAGTGCGTCCCCTAGCCACGTGGATTAAACATCCTTCTGTCTTACTGTCTCTCTAGTAATGTTAATATGAGGGCATCCGTCCTGACCTCGTAAGGTCACATAAAGCAATCATGTGTGGAGCACGGGCACCAGGCCGGCACTTGGAAGCTCTCAGTTAAGGACTGCCCGGAGGTATATGGGCCTGAACTGAGTCTCCACAGCAGCCCTCAGCTGGATCTGCACGCAGCACGCCGGCTTCCTCCCGGGGCTCACTGAAAATCGCCAAGCAGGAGAGGCAGCTTAGCCTTGAGGACCCGCCTCAGTTTGCCAGCTCTTAAGTTGTGTATTACGCAAATTACAGAAAATGCGGGTAGACAAAATCCTCTCGATTCCTTTCCTAGGCGCTGGTGGCTCACACTTGTAACCGTAGCTACTCAGGAGGCTGGAATCCAAGGGTCACAGTTCAAAGCCAGCCAGCCGATGCAGGAAAGTCCATGGGACTCATATCTCCAATAGACCATTCAGAAAAAAAGTTGGAAGTGGTGTTGTGGTTCAAATGCTAGAACACTAGCCTTGAGCAAGAAGCTCTGGGACAGTGCCCTGGCTCTGAAGACTGTTTAAAAAAAGAATCCTCTTGTCCCCTGAGGTGGGAGTGAGGAGAGGGTGCTGTGAGCCCAGCGCTCTTGAGGCAGATAATGACACGTGTTCTTTCTAAAGGTTTTATGATTAGGGGCCACCAGCCTTAAAAGTTGGGGAACCATTGAATTAGATGGACAGTTCTAGTGGAACTTAATGACTTTTTTAAAGCACAGATCTCGCTGCTGAATGTGTGGTAAACAACCTTTGTATAATTTCATTGTCAGATTTTCCAGATTCTAGCAAGCCTGTCCAGTAGGTAGCCACCATCATCTTGCATTCACCCCCTCCAACTCCCCCAACCCTGGCATCAAGTACATTTTCAGAACTTCTGGATGCTGCTTTTCCAAACTGGCTTTCTAAAAAGAATTGACAGACAATCCTCTCCGAGTCCAGAGTTTCCAAAGCCAGAGCAGTGCCGGAATTTACCTTCTTTGTTTCCTGGCTGGCCCTCCACCAAGCTTTTTCCCAGGTTGGATGCGCTTTGTGCCTTAATGCATTCCCATCAACACCATGCCTTAGCCACTTGATGTCTGTTATCTTGTTCCCTGTAAATCAGATAAAAGACCAGTTGCCAGAGCTACATCTGATGTGCTGGGATGGGCCCTGTTTCTCACTTTGGAGGTGTCCTTCACAGTTGGGCTAATTAAAGTGGAAATCAAGTCCTGATGGTAAATATTTGTAAGTTGAGAATCTGCCATGTGTGAATGCACACCACTAATTCCCCAGTTAAGTTGGCATTGACTCATTCACCAAACTGCACCAAATGACACCAGGGCCAGAGGAAGGGTCGGCAAAGCAAATTCGCCGCAGAGGCTCCTTCTCGGCAGCTGTGCTTCACTTTAAAAGTCAAAATTAAAATGTTACTGGAAAAAAAAAAGCCCTCACTGCAACATTTCAGACCTGCAGGAGCCTCCTGGGCCTGACACCGCAGTGTCTCAATTTACAATCAAAATATTTTATCCTCACTTCTTTAGATCATGTTTTAAAAATAGCAATTGGTGTCATTTGGAAATTAGCACTGAGATTCCTTTGGAAGATCCCAGTGTCCCCAGTACCTTGGTTGGTTTTCCATTGCTGTAACTGAACCAGGGATTGCTGGGCTGGAGGTTCTCAAGGCGGGAGTCCTCCTGCTGGGGAGGACTGGTGCAGCCCCCACATTGCGTGCTTGCGGTGTCCCGGTGTCCGGGTGTCCCGTTGTCCTTGTTGGTGAGTCCTGGCTTGAGTCTCTCCCCTTATAAAGCCTCAGACCCAGCAGCTTGGGGCCCCGCCCATCCTAAAAGTCCCACCCCAATGGCCGCCCTTGATGACACACCCATCCTCTTGATTCCTCACCATGGGGTGAAACGGTAACAGGGGTTGGGGGGCAGAGGAGGCTTCAGCCCACGGCTCAAGCAAAACATCCCGCTCCCTGTGAGAACTTAAGTTGCTAACTTGGCTTCATTTCAAAGTCATCTGCCCACCATACAGTACACAAAGCACACAAGTACAAATCTAGACCGTGACTGTGGGAAGTAAGCAGGAAATGGCTTCTGTGTCACCGCCTTCTCGTTTTACTCACCTGTCCTAGGGCATCTGGGCTGTTTCTGTAACTTGGCTAACTGAGAATAGTGCAGCAGTGAACATGGATGCACAAGTGTCTTTTCCATGTCCTGGCATATGGCGTCTGGGTAGTGGCCCAGGAGTGGCATGGCTGGGTCGTAGGGAAGGCCTGTGTCTAGTCTTGAGGAACCTCCAAACCACCTTCCAGAGTGGATGTACAGTACAGTGCAGTGCAGTAGGTTCCTTCCCCACATCCACCAGCATTTGCTATTGTTAGAATTCCCCGTGCTGGCCAATCTTACTGGTGGTGAAATGGAATCTCAGTGTTGTTTTGATTCGCATTTTCTTTATGGCCTGGGATGTTGAGTATTTCCTTATGCGTTCTTTGGCCACTCTTTCTTCTCCTGAGAAGACACTTTTTAGCTCCTTTGCTCATTTATTAACTGGTTCATTGCTGTTCTGGACTTTTCCCTAGTCTTTGAAACAGAAACGGACTTACGTAAGGAGGGTGCTGG